TCCAATAGCATTTCCCAGGTCCTTCTCAGTGCCAGTGGTCCACCTGCAGTTCCCATTCCCTCTCTATCCCCTGATCTGGATTGGCTCAGGCTGGAAAATGGCCAATGACACTGTGCCTCAGTACGTTTGTCCAACCCGCAGCTGTAAGCCTGGGTGGACTCTGTTTTACATTCCTGAAAACAGGAACTGGGGACCTGCCTTCCCAGCCCCTTTGGCCCCTTTGGACCCCTTAAGCTCTTCCACAGTCCTGGGAACCCTTCCTCCATCCCAAAGAACATCTTGAAATTGCCCTTTCCACTGACCCTACCCTCGCCTCTCAGTCTGACTTCTGGGGAGGGGCAGGGGATGATAGGGACTCAAAATGCAGATGCTCTTGGGGCCTTCTAGTTCAATCTTCTCATTTTTTTGGACAATGAAACTAAGGCCCAGGGAGGGGAGGCATCTAAGTTAAGGTCACAGAAGGAGTTAATGGCAGAGATGAGAGTAGCTGCTAGGTCTCTCAAAGCCCCGTGTTATTGCCTGGGTTGAATTCACAGTAGATTATGGTTGAAAGATTTTTTGTCTCAAATAATAATCAATTCCAGATACCCCTTAACTAAGTAGATCTTTATACTATTCAAAGTTGCTGGGTAAACTAGCTGTCAACTGTTAGATAAGCCATGCCATGCAAATGTTCTTTATAAAACAGCAAATGTTAAACAACCAGATTTATCAAGAATTAGTTCCAACAATGCTTTAATCGTTTTCAAATACAGGAAGTGGATTGAATGATGGCGATGATGGTAAGCTTCACATGCTTAGAGTTGAGTCTGCTGCCCTCCTGAGCCTTGGAAGTGACACCCAATAGCATCTTAAATGAAAGTATTTAAACAAACAAATTTGTTTCTGTTTTCTATTTTCTACCTTTTCAATAGGCTTTCCCACTCCTCAGAGTTGGGGAGGGCGTGGTCTGGGGTGACTGATGGATGGAGTCTGGTGCAAGGCTGAGCCTGCAGCCAGACTGGAGCCAGTTGGGTTGGAAGCAGGGGCTCTTGTTACAGGCAAGCTATTACCCCCCAGGTCGCCTCAGCCACTTCAGTGGGAGCCTGGAGAGAAGCCCTGCATGGCTCTGGGCAACAAAAGGAGCTTTGTGCCCTGGGAGCCAGGGGCCCCAGAGAGAGTTTGGTGGAGGGTGATGAGAGGAAAGGCAACCAGTCCCCTCACCTCTGCGAACTGCTGGGCAGGGGTGCTAATGGCATCCACAAAACTGTGCGGTCGGTAAGCCAAGAAGTCATTGAATTTCAGAGCAGCATACCCTTAGAGGCCCTTTAGAGCAAATTATTCATTTTATAGTTGGGGACACTGAGGCCCAGAGAGGGGAAGGGGAAGGCCCAAGATCACACAGCCTGCAAATGGCAGAGCCAAAACTAGAAGAGAGAGCTTCTGTTTTCCCCATTCAAAAGTACTCACTTCAGTACCTGAAACGCCATGTTGAACTGGGGGTTTATTTGCAGGAAGTAGGTTTCCTCTTAGGCTCCAGAATCTATATCCATCTTAGGGACAATTCATGCTCCAGAAATAGTGTGGCTGGGGGTGTGGTTCAAGTGGTAGAGCCTAGCAAACACAAGGCCCAGAGTTCAAACCCCAGTATCATCCCCCTCTCTCCCCAAAAAAGAAAGAAATGAGAAAAGAAACACAGTGTGAGACCTTGGAAGAAGTGTGAGGTGACACATGGCCTGAAAGCCTGAGTGTGGAGTGAGTCCCCAAGGCTTGAACCTCCTCCTGATCTGCTGGCTCCTATTACAACTGGTTCTGTATTTTCCAGTGTTAGGTTTATATTGGCATGAGAGGTTTGGGATGGTACATTGAATTATAGTGGACATATATTTAATTTATTACATAAGGGAAAATGTAATTAGAACCTCAAAACCTAATCTCATAAGTATTATTGCTTAGGGTGAGGTTGTTGCTTAAAATAGGGTTCATTCAACAAAAAATTGAGTACATAATGGCACAGGATAAAGTGAGGGCAAAAATTCTGAAGTTGCTTCAGCAATAAGTGAATTTTGGGAAACACTATGCTATTGGATCCTCAGATGGACTAGAACAGGGTGCTCAAGATCATCCAGGTCATCCTCCCGGGCTGGAGCAACGCCACATGAGTTGAGACCAATTGGATGCTCTCCTAAAGACAGCACCAAGGGGTCCCATGAACTCCTGCCAAGGTTTCCTTGGCCCATGGGACCACTAGGACAAAAGTAGGACCATGTCAGGGAAATCTTTGGTTGGTTCATCCTAACAGGAAGGAGATTATATGTGCAAATGATATGCAACTGTCAGCTTTGAGTCAGTGTCTCTAAAAAGTCCCTAGTTGGTCCTCTCCTCCATCACTTCTGTTCTGCTCTGGTGACACTCAGGAGCACAGCATGCAAGGACACACAGTGTGCAGATAGCAAGGCTGAGGTTCAGAGAGGGGAAGGCGCTTACTGAGGATCATTTCACCAGGAGTAGCACAGTCAAGACTGGGCCCCAAACAAGTGCTGATTCCACCGTCCTCACTTCCTTCCCCAAATTCCTGCCCCACCACAACCCCACCAGGCAATCTTGTCAAGCAAGGCTCACTTTCTTCAGACCTAAACTCGTGGAGAGCCTAAGAGGCTGGTAACGTTCATTCCATGCAGTAAGCCCTATTTTATTATTGTAGACACAGGTCCAGAGAGAAGTGACCTGCCTGGGCTCCCACAATGAATCTGTAATGAAATTTGGGCTACAATCCAGGTGCCCTGATTCCATAATTTCTCATAATTTCTGCCAGATTGTCCTTGACTCGTCCTCAGACAATGTGCTCATGTTTGCCTTTAAACAGACGTTTTTGAACTTGAACCTAAAGAATTACCAGGAAATTACCAGTCCCATCTCACCTTCATGGATGGCAACCACTTCTGCCTGGCCCCACCACCCTAAAAGGTGCTCCTCTGTCCTGAGTAAGCCATGGGCCACTCAGCCACGTGGTGCCCACCTTCCCTGGGTTCAGCACTGGCTTCTCAGCCTGGCACAGACATTCTGACGAGACAACTCGGCAGCTGTGAGTGCATTCGTCTGGGAGCAGGGGGTCCACTATTTCAGGGCCTGAGGGGTTTCTTTTTAGCCTCAGCAGCTGGTGTCTCTGAAATGGAGAAGTTTGTCCTTCCCCAGCAGCCCACAGACCTCGTGCCTCCAGAGGTCTCTGGTGCAGAGCAGGAACTGCACTCAGCAAGAAGCCCTGGAGTGGTGGAGGGGGGACAGGGGCGTGTTGGAGAAGCAGATGTATGCTGCCATATGCTGATCGAAGCAGTGTTCCTACTTCAAAATAGGTGCCCTCTCATCTGCCGTCATGGCAATGCAAATAAATACCCCACCCTGCCAGTTCTTCTTTTTCACTAGCCACTACCCAAGAGTACAGGGTCCTAATGTGGAAAAGTCCTTGGGGAGTCCCTAGATCCCTTCTCTGCCTCCTGGCAAGACTGCACACAAACCAGCTCCAACTACTCTGCAAGGTCCTTAGGAATGAGGCTGCCTCTTCCAATACCTTCCCAAGATGCCTCACCCAGGCCCTCAGCATATCACTCTAGCCTCTCTGTTTCAGTGACCCCCAGCCCTAGCTGCTACCTAGGAGCTCTGCTCATTCAAGTTGTGAGCTCATCCTGATGAAAGATTGGAGCCAGTGGGATGGCTGGGGCCAGGTAGCAGCAGAAGAATGGCTTGAATGAATTCAGCAAAGCCTGGCCTGTGTATGCCATGAGCTCCAGCTCTGAAAGCAAACCCTTTTCTGGCCCAGATCCTTCTTTCTCTTCCTTCCCAAAGCACTCATCCCTATCTGGACCGCTGCAGACTCCTCAGCAGAGGAAAGCTGCCTGCAGAGTGCCGCTCAGGTGTGTGCATCAAGGAGGACACCAGGGGGCAGAAGGCAAACAGCAGTCAGGCTCAAAGAAACTTGCTAGAGAACAAAAGGAAGCAATTGGTTCTTTTGTTTTGTTTTGTTTTGTTTTTTTCTTGGCAGTACTGGAGTTCACACTCAGGGCTTTGCTCTTGCTAGACAGGTGCTCTACCACTTGAGCCATGCCTCCAGTCCCTCTTTTGTTCTGGTTAGTTTGGACATGGGGGTCTCATGTTTTGCCCAGGTCAACCTAGAATGTCATCCTCCTATTTTACACTTCCCGACATAGCTGAGATGACAGGCACACTCAAACCATAGTTTGAGATGGGGTTTTGAGAACTTTTTTTTTCGGTACTGGGACTGAACTCAGGGACTACCCCTTGAGCCACTCCACCAACCCCTTTTTTGTGATGGGTTTTTTTGAGATAGCGTCTTGTGAACTATTTGCCTGGGCTGGCTTCAAACCTCAATCCCGACCTCTGCCTCCTGAGTAGCTAGGATTACAGGCATGAACCACCAGCGCCCGACTTGTCTTGGGAACTTTTTTCCAGGCTAGCCTGAAAGTGATCCTCCCGATCTCAACCTCTCAAGTAGCTAGGATTACAGGCATGAGCCACCGCCTGGCAAGGAAGGAATTGTTTCACCTTGAGAATACTGTGTCCCCTTAGTCTCATTAGCCATGAAGCTACTTCTTCTTGGAAGCCTCCCAGATAAAGCAAGTGCTGGGAATGTCAAGGACACTGGACCCCAAATGCCAAGTCTCCTTCCTTCCCTCTCCACTTACCTGTTCCTCTTTCCTGATGTACACACCACCCCACATGCTTCCCAGTGTGAAGAAGGCATTTGAGAACAGCACATGGGTGGCTGCCACGAGCTGAGAGCTCTGGGGAGATATCCTCCCCTGGCTCAAAGGCAAGAGCCAAACTTCCAGCAGAGAAATGAAGAGCCCACAAACCAAAAGGCAGGGCTGGAGGAGCCAGGCCAGGCCCAGGAAGGTGACAGCCACTGGCCCCATTGTGGACCCATCAGCTGGTCCATGAGGACCGCTGAGCAGTTCGTTTCATGAGCATTTGTGAGCCGCGCGTGCCACTCCTCGTGCACTTACCAGCATTCTTCCTCACTTGCAGCAGTGGAAAGCACTGTAAAGGAAACAGAAAATAAGTCATGGCATTATAGAAGTGCAATGTGGAGACTGAAAGGGCTCTTTAAAATCAGCAAGCTGCTGCGCATGGTGGCTCACACTTGTAATCCCAACTACTCAGGAGGTAGATTGAGAGGATTGCGGTCGAGGCCAGTCCTGGGCAAAAAAACACAAAACCCTACCCCTAAAATAACTAAAGCAAATAAAGGGCTGGGGGCATGGCTCAAGTGGTGGACTGACTGCCTAGCAAGCATAAGGTCCTAAGTTCAAGCTCCAATACCACCAAAAAAAAATCAGCAAGTTCTATCTACCCATTTTTCAGAAGGACACATCGAGGCCCACGGAAAAGAAAAATGAAGGAGAAAATGAAGCCTAGAATCCCAAAGTCCTGACTGTCCACTCCACACTACTTCCTCCTACCTCACTGGCTAATTCCTCTACTTCATTTCCCTCTTACAAAATGGAGAGTACTCCCAGGTTAGAAGACTGGGGACAGTTTGCACAGTTCACAGAATTTTTCCAATGTCCGACAATAAAGATGATCAAAGAACCAGTCAATATGTATGTGACATTACTATCCTTGTATAGCTTTGGCCAGGCTAGAAGCAAGGTGTGTTGGTAGAAATGGAAATCTTTATAATTGGAAACCCCAAGTTCAGGGCCACCTTCCTCTATATGTAACATTGGACATCATCCATAACCTCTTGAAGCTCAGTTTCTGCACCCATAAGACTAGGAGAATAAAATTTTTTTTTGTGGTACAGGGGTTTGAACTCAGGGCCTACACCTTGAGCCACTCCATCAGTTCTTTTGTGTGATGGGTTTTTTTTTTTTTTTTGAGATAGGGTGTCTCAAACTATTTGCCTGGGCTGGCTTTGAACCTCGATCCTCCTGATCTCTGTCTCCTGAGAAGCTAGGATTACAGGCATGAGCCACCGGTGCCAGGCTAAGAGAATAAAAATCTAGACCTCACAGGCTTTATGAGAAATTAATGTATCTGAAAGTACTTTCTAAAAGCACAAAGCACATTGCAAATGCACTCAACAATTATTTAGGGAGCATCAATGCCTTACTCTGCTAAATGCTAAGGTTATAACAGTGATCTGAATGAATAAGGTCCTCATAGAACCAAAATCCTAGTGGGAAGTGACAATCAATAACAAAGAACTAGGGAAATCCCAGACATCACAAGAACTAAGATAGAGAGATTAAAAAAAAAAAAAAACAGGAGGAGATAGAGGGTGACTAGGAAGGTGGCCACAGGAGGTCTCTCAGAGGAGCTGAACTTTGAGTAGAGGTCTGAATGTCAGGAAGGATCCAGCAACGTGAAGATCTAGATGCAGAACATTCCAGGCAGAAGTTGAGAAAAGAGAGAAGCAAGAGCTGAAATGCACAGGGTTTCAAAAACCAGGGTGAGGATTTGGGCTTCGATTGAAATCCCAGTAGGGAGCCATTGGTGATGCACAGCAGCAGAATTCGAAGATCTGCTTTCCACCCTAACAGAATCCTGTGGGCTGCTGGCTGGGGTGTGGACTACAGAGCTAGACTGAAAGCAGGGAGATGTGTCAGGAAGCAATGGCAGGAGCTTGGGCTAAAATGGTGATAAAGATGCTAAGTCCATAGTTAAGAAGGAAAGAAACAAGGAAGGGTACTTCTCAGAGATAGAAGGATCTTCTTGCCTATTCTCCTGCCCTAACAGAGCCAATCCCTAAATTAACCCAAAGGTTATCAGAAAGGACTTTTCAGAGCCTGTGCCCTATCTCTTACCCTTAGACAATGACTGCCACAACCGGTGCAGACACTTGAACACAATGATTCCTAATCCTAAGAAGATTTGCCTTAGATCATCCTAGAATGACAAAGGTCAGGTCTATCCTTGAAGACCACACTTTGTCCACAGGAAAAAGGATGCCTTCCCCGACACTCGTGTTCTTTAGCGGGGTCTTTGAGGGATGTTAATGTGAGAGAGAAAACTCTACAATAAGATAAGCATGACCAGAGAGGGACAGATAAGAAAGTCCCCTACAAAGCTACAAAGTGGAACTATAACTAAGCAGGTCAACAGAATTCTCAGTGGTCGACAAAAGAAGAGAAAAAAAGAGAAATGGTGATGGGGTAGAAGAGGAGGAGAAAATAGGCATCTGTGATGTCTTCAAAGTGACCGCTCATCAGGAAATGAACTGACAATTGGGACAGACTACTACTCTGAAGTCCTGCTCTAGTTATATGAATTCCCCTCTTCTCCCATCCTACCAGCCCACTCCATCATGATTATGACAGAATTAGGCCTACTTCAAAAGATAACTGGGGCCTGACGCCAGTGGTTCACACCTATAATCCTAGCTACCCAGAATGCTGAGGTTGGGAGGACCAAGGTTTGAGGCCAGCCCAGGCAAATAGTTCTTGAGACTTCATCTCCAAAAAAAACAGAGCAAAATGGACTGGAGGCGTGGCTCAAGTGGAACAGCACCTGCTTAGCGAGTGTAAAGTCCTGAGTTCAAACCCTAGCCCCCCCACACACACCCACACCCACACAAAAAAAGGGAACTAGGCCTTAAATTAATACGGGGATTTATAGGTTACAAATGAGTGATCTTGGGCTGGTGGAGTAGCTCAAGCAGTAAAGTGCCTGCTTTGCAAGCATGATTCCCTGAGTTCAAACCCCAGTCCCACCAAAACCAAACAAACAAAAAAATGACTGAGCTTCTTTGGCTGTCACAATCATACTACAAGACTAGGTTTTATTATCCTCACATGAGGAAAGCAAGGCCCAGAGAAGTGAAATGACTTACCCAGGGCAACACAGCTAGCAAATGTCAGCATTAAGTCTGTACTTGAGGCCTGTGAGGCTCCTGATTTTATTGCGTTTGACTCTTTTTTCTTTGGGTTGCAGGACAGCTTAAGTTGGGCCAGGACCATGACTCCCATTCTACTTTTGACCTTGATCTTGATGCTTTTTGTTAGCTGAAAGCCTTTCAGGGGAAGATGAGGAATGAATGCTTACACCCTAGAGTTATGCTGCAGAGTCTCCTGGCTCTCCTCAACCCAGGAGGCAGAAGTGCAGCAACTACAAGACAGTCACCCTGGACCCCTGGACGAAGGCCAGCACTAGCAGTGACATCTTCCCGTTCAGTGAGTCATTCCCTCACAGCGTCTCCATCCCTTTGCTCACTCACTCACTCACTGGGTGCCTCCTTGGCCCCGTGCTGTGCCAGGCACTCGGGGGTCGACACAAATCACTTTTTCGTTTTGTTTTCTTGAGACGGGGTCTCACTATGTAGCCCAGGATGACCTGGAACTCGTGATCCAATTACAAGTGTGCTGCACCCACCAGGCCCTGCTAGAATTGAGACAAATCAGACCGGCTCCCTGCCGTTGAGGAACTCACAGCTAGGTGGGGAAGTTGTCACATGCACAAATTATCACAACTCATTAGGTGCTCTTGGAAAACACAGAGTCTTGGGGACTGAGTAGAGGGAGTAGGGGTCCATTGTCATGAGGACCTGCATGAAAGAAGCAGCGTGTGGAACAAATCTCATAGGGTGAGTGGTTGACCATCAGGCAGACAAGGGGACCAAGAGTAGGACAGGCAGAGGAGTGTCAAAGAGGGTGCTTTAAGGAACCGAGTATAGTCTGGCTGGAGAGCAGAAAGCTTGGACTTTACCTAGAGCCCAGTGAAGAGCCGCTGAAAGGGTCTGAAGAAGGAAGTAACAGAGTCACGTTTCAGAATGTTACTCTGGCTGGTGGAGTGGCTCAAGTGGTAGAGCGCCTGCTTAGCAAGTGTGAGGCCCTGAGTTCAAACTCCAATACTGCCAAAAATAAAAAATCTCCAGAATGTTACTGTGGCTGTGAAGCAAAGCATGGATTAGGACTGGGCAGGAGGCTTAGGTAAATCAGAGGCAGGGGCCAGAGCAGTGGTCAGGTTCTGGGATAGGCAGTGGTCTTTGGGGATAGGAAGGAGAGTGTTAATATATGGACTATTCATACGGTTAGAGGCAAAGTAAATGATAGGGTGCAGGGTAAGACTGAAGTTCTGGCCAGGTGCCAGTGCTCACGCCTAAATTCAGGAGGCTCACAGTTCCAAGCTGGCCCAGGCAAATAGTTTGCAATTCCCTAGCTCTAAAATAGCCAACACAAGAAAAGGCTGGCAGAGTGGCTCAAGCAGTAGAGAGCCTGCCTTGCAAGTGTGAAGCCCTGAGTTCAAACCCCAGTACCACCAAGACTGAGAGAGAGAGAGAAAGTCCTAGACGACTCCAAGGTTTTTGGCCTGGCACCTGGGTGGACACTAGGGCTGTTAACTGGAACCAGGAATGGAGGAAAAAGTGGTTCTGGGTTATGGGAGGAAAATCTTCCTGTCGCAGTGAATCTTGCCTTGGACCAGGTGAGAACATCTCAACGGGGTCTGGGAGCATCTGCCCAGAGAAGGCCACTAGGCACTGGGATAGACCTGCGGATACAAAGATGCACAGAGGCTGTCTGTGGGAGAGACCTGTGGTCTAGTGGAAGACGGAGTGGCCAGACAGGAAAAGCTGATGAGTTTTTGAGAGAAGACGAGAAACATGTTGAAAGCAAAAAAATAAAATAAAAGTCAAAAGTGGGATAAAGTCAGGCACCAGTGACTCACACCTGTAATCCTAATCACTCAGGAAGTAGAAATCAGGAGAATCCCAGTTCGAAGCCAGCCCAGGCAAATAGTTTGAGAGACCCTATCGCGGAAAAACCCATTACAAAAAAGGGCCGGGGGAGTGGTTCAAGTGATGGAGTGCCTGCCTAGCAAGTGTAAAAGCCTTGAGTTCAAATCCCAGTACCACCACCACCACCACAATAAAAAAAAAGCAGATAAAAGAAGAAAGATGGTTGCTGGGTGGGATGTAGGGAAGTTTGAGAGGGGTCATTCAGATATAGGCTGCAAAGGCTACTGACAGGCTCAATTCAGACCCAGGGAGTCCTCAGCCTTGTGTGGCTGAGACCAAGCTCATTCTCCCTAGCATCCTTTCT